CAAACTCTGCTCAAATGTTCCAGAGAAAAAAAAAGGGAAGATTTAGAAAGTGCGGATGAGTAATTGAAGATTCGAATAACCGAAGCAAGCTGAACTCGGACAGGAGCTCCAGCTCTAGGGGTTCGTCCTTACATTACTTCGAAATACTCTAAACATAGAGTATGCAATAAGGAATCATTCGTTTCTTGTGGCTGTATATGAATAATTGAATTTATCTTTCCTGTTTTTCTGCGCCGTTTATCTGTAACTTTCTTTCTGTATCCATGGTTATGGTTTTTTTCACGCAGAATATTAGAAGACAGTAAGCCCGCAACAGACTCACAAATTGTTGATGTGAAACTTCGCCGTATATATATATATATATATATATGTATATATATTTAATTAACTAATAACTACTTCATTAGTGACAAAGTGAAAATCCTAGACGGTTCTGAAAGAAACTTTCGATGATGGATGTCGACAATAATTTCGAAATCACTTTACAGAGTTCAATTATATAATAATAGCTTCTGGAGTAGGACATCGTTCATGGTTTTCAATTATAACTAATAAAAACGCCAGCAGATCATCATTTGCCAAGTTGAATTGGTGCCCGATTACACCCGATACGGGCGGACATCATACGCAGCGTCGAATTATGCCTAAGAACAGACAAAGGCAGGGGGCGCTGCTGGACAGAGCTACAGCGATCGAAGCGACAAGACCGACCAAGGACCTGGACTTCATTTCGTCAAGCCCCTGGCAACGAACTGGACAGCGGCTGCTTAAATCGCTGCGTCTGTGTAATACATCAATGGGTCTAGATGAATATTAATCATCAGTCTATCGGGCGAAAAGTCTACTGAAGTTCCTGCTGGAACTCACTGATGCGGAATCCGCAATGAAATGAATTACCAGATCGTCCACAGTGCGGTGGAGCTGCATCATGCTAGAGGTCAGCCATCTGAAGCAACGCTTGAAAACATCACCGGACGTAAAACTCGACATTGTTAAGTTGCTCGGATTCGTGATAGTGAATATTTCATGTTTGGTTATACGTCGAACCACAACAGTTAGCTCGAAATCGCTCTTATTTAAACAAATAAATGGTAGTAGAAAAGACAAGTGGTTACCAGTGAAATTGTAACGATGTTACATATGCCTGGTCGAGATACAAGCACTATCTGTCAGAGCCGTTATTGAAGAACGACACCGTCTTCCAGGGTTGCACATGGTCAAAAGCAGATTTCTTTTCACGGAAGGATATAGATCAACGGAAGATTTAGGCATTCTACCAACTAGTCCGTTATTGTTGTGCGCATTATGCCTGTTGTTCTTAGGAACAGGTAGGCTGCTCGCTGAGCCGCCCACAACACTCATATGGTTTGATATTACACACAACGGGAAGGGAGAGGGTGAGAAGGGGAAGATGTGGCAAAGAGCTACATCGAAAATCGAAGGGGACTAGCTTTCGCGAACAAGGAAAAGCTGATATTGTCTTTGCGGGATAGATGCGTCACAGCAGGCCCGCTCCATGTACACAAGGTCTCACCGACGTGGGAACCAATAACGAAGGTTTGCCATAGGCGCTTCTGATGATGCGAACGAGGATTCAATTTATGTATTACCGTAACCCTTTTTCGGCGTAAAGCTAATTTCTACCTATAGACTACGTACGGTTAGATAGCAGAGTTAATTCGAATCAGCTTTATTGAATGTGTTGTACGATTTACGTCAGTCGCTACTTTCGGATAGCTCTATTGTGATGCGCATCGTCCTTCTAATTGCAATGTTCAGTGATACCAGCAACAATTCCTCATCGATATCTCAAGATAAGGGCGAAACGTTACGCTCCCACGCTTTTTCCGCATTAATGATTATAGATATATCATTTTTGTTGCTGCCAAAAATCATGATATGAGATAAATCAAATCAACCTACAAATAACATGAAATAGATATCATCTACAACGTGCTATACTTTTATATTTTGTCCAAGTAAATCGAGTATTTAAAGAGAAGTCAAATAAATAGAACATGCTTAGTCTAGACACGAGAATTGCGCGAGACTGCCTAGCGTTAGCACACGCCAATAAACCCGCTGACTGTAATTTGGAATTGAAGTTTAATTATAAAAAAAATGTATAATTATCGAAGCGATAAGGTTTAGTGGCAAGTTTATTCGTACAATTATTTCGAAAGATGCGATCCACGCTTCTCATTACATAATCGTAAGGCCTGCACACCCGACACTCACGTAGGCTGCTGGGCTCAATCCTGTCAACAAATAAATAAGGTTCATCTAAAGGCTAGATTTATTTGGCAGTCCAATAAAATTTAATTGTTACGTTACTAAGCCAACTCCTAAATGTCAGGCTGCAGGGCGGCTACCCTGAAACCATTTAATAAGTTCTGGAAGGGGTCGCTCCACGTGTAGCGGTATAGAAACAACGAACAAATCCATTGAAGTCTAGTACGAGAACGATTAAAAAACCTATTTCTGTATGTATGATTTGTATTTACATAAATGTAAGTCAGGTCTGTTGATATCTATCTTACCCGCGTGTACCTAGCTGTCGCCGAACGGACTATCAATGTTTTAAAAGTATCTCTCTAGTATCATAGAAGTTATTTGGAATATATATATTCATAAGTCGCTTTTTTATTGACTGGGTTCGAAATGTCGAAGTGAACTTTTTGTACAGTACATCCAAAACGATGGACATAATTGTTAGTTGTCCGGCCGTGAACCTCTAACAATATCTTGAGTTCGATCTTACTGACATACTTATTAACCTGATTAGACACATGGGAAAATTCTCGGAAACCACCTATATGTTACAAAACTCGCATAATACTGCGAATGAAAGCGAGGCATGATCGTAATGAATCGCTTCAAACGATACAGATTACTTCATTAAAAAAGAAACCTCTCTGGCTATGACCTCCAAACTGCCCCACAATCTTTTTTTTACCATACAAAAAAAAAACATCAATGTACATATAAAAAAATCATTTGAACAGAATCAAATACAGATAGCAGTTTACTTCGAAGGTCGTACGGGACTACCACCTCTTCAAGATTGTTAGAATATAAGTAAGCTTTCGCTCGGAATTGAATCTTTAACACTACTATGTTGATTGAAAGCGTCTATAAGATGGGGCGCACAAAAGGTCTTTGTTTCGGGCGATCTATGCGGAAACACAAACCGATGAAGAACCAGTGTAGCTCGTCGACGACTCAGTTCCTTTGTCCGATCAAAATAAAAGTTATAATAGATTTGCCCATTTTTGCTTTTTCGTAAAAGTCAAATCTTTCACAGTACGTATTATGTTAGCTGAATCGTTGACCGTTTACCATACAACAATGACTAGCTATTACCTAGCGAACATATTTAGCTTTCGAATCAGTATATCTTAAAGATAACAACACATATGTTTCCTGCTCTAGAAAAAAGCCCTGTGGAATTTTAACTTAATAAAGAATGAGCATCTGGTCACAATAAAAATACACCATGTCCCTATTAGAGGTGAAAATAACATAAATCACAGTACCTTGACACTTTGGCCAGATAAATATAACCTAACTGGAACAATGATAATAAAATACGATCTGTCCGAAGACGCAGATCAAATGGTGATAGCCTAGAGCACACTTTTCTGTCGACAGTATCAACTGAGCATTTAAGTACTACAATCTGTTCCATAACATGAGATTTTTGTCGTTTGGCCGTTATGGAAGAAGCTGCTCGTTGAAAGGAAATACTGTCCGGCATAATATCGAAAACATGGGCCATAGCATCCCCGGTAGCCGGAGGTCTGGCGCGCACAATATAATGAAATTTTTCGACTGGCCGCTGAGTTACAGATGTGCCAATCACTTCTGCTACTATTTGTTTAGAGCGAGTTCGCATCAGTTAGATAGTCTCTGTATTCTCTTTTTATTTCATACTATCGAATGAGTTGCTGGGAAGTTTCTGCGTTGGCTAATTCTTTTACATCCTTCGATGAATAGTATTGCCTTCGCAAACAAGCTTCTAAGGTGTGGAGTGCCAGAATGCGTCTTAGAAAGGCCGAAATAGCGCAGTCGAGATCGTGACGCTTGGTTGGCCTTGAGATGTCTCCGAATTAATAACATCCTGCACGGACGATAGTATGTTTTTCGCAGAAATTACATAACCGAAAATCATTAATTAAGTAAAGGTAATAGCAGAATTTAGGCCTCCTTGAAACGCGATAACTGAAACATTTAAGATCATATATCTACCGCTACATAGAGATTCCATTTAAATTTAACGATAATAATAACAATAATTACAGTAAACATATGTTACGCGTTAAACAGGAGACTGTATAATAATAATAATAATAATAAAGTTTTACTCTCTAAGGGCGCTGAAATCAACTTGAGAAAGACGAACGATTATGTAAAAAAAAACATGCCAAAACAATTACTTTTTTGCAAGACAACTCTTTAGATAATTATTTTACGTGTGTTGAGCCATAAATAAGCGATGTTTACATTACGTTCTGAATGGTTAGGTGTGCAAAAACATGGAGCATCGTGCCAAGGCTGAAATGGAAGATGAGATTACGTCAATTTCAAAAAAGTGAAGGAGGCACAAAATTGATATGTACATAAACTAAAGTTTAGGTGAAAAAAACTACCGAGCAAGTTTTAGTACTGGCCAGTCAACTTATTCCCTATAGGTACTACAGGCCAAAAACTCTGCTGCATTGGTGGTCTTAGAGCGCATAATCGCCTGTCGCGTTCTGCTATTCTAGGATGGCGATATATAGTAGCTCTATAGTGCTTGAGCCTCTGGAAAAGTGTCGTTCTATTTGCTCTTTTCATTGTCGTCTAGTCTGAGCGGCTCTAGGCAATCTCGAACGACTCACCCGAAAAGAGGCACGCTTTCAGGTTTCTGACCGAACCTGGCCCCCTTTCCGCGAAAGCTCGCTTGCCTCTTCTTTTCTAGTCAACGCAAACCAGCAACAGCAGCCAGGCGAACTCGCCATCAAGATACCACGGGAAGCTAGAGTTCTGCTGTGCTGGTTTACTGTGTTGCCATCATCACGCTTTTTTCTGTTCCGTCCTCTAACGTTCGCCGATACCTAACAAACACATTGTGGGACCATTCTATGAGAAGCGACTATGACTTAAGAACGATTGTAGGTTCGCTCTATTGACTAACAGTTAAAATGCGCTTGACCGTTATTGCTGGCACGTATCCGTGCTAATCCATCGTCGTGTCGTGCTACGGTGAAATGAACGTGAACTGTCGCGTGCATCGCTGTTCGGATTCTGTATGCTTGTGTCGTGACTAATATTAACAATACCCGATAACCGATGTGCTAGTATATTAGCTCAGAGTGAAGATTCATCTACGGCGCCATGGGCTACCGCTCAGGATCGAGACATCTAGCAGGAGTCACAACGCTGAGCGTACTATTCCTTTGTGGCTGGATGAATACAACCGGCGCGGTACCAGCCCGAGTGCACAAAGATGTCGGCACCATTGGTACGATCAACGACACATCTATGAACCACATATACGTGACACATAGATTTGTGAAGATAATGGCTTAAAATGAAAATAGCTTCGTCCCTATTGAGGAAATATTTTGACGAACATCCATGTCATTTCAAACAGACATAGTGTTCGACAATGTCTGCTTGGGTTTGTTTAACTGTGATATGGCTAGGTTTAAATCGGCCCAAGGCTTCAGACAGTAGACAGTTATATTCAAGTGACAACTTATTCGAGAGAATTTAAAAATATATCTGTACGGCAGACATTATTCGCTGAGAGATAATTTGAGGAAATGTCGTTTCCTTTTTTCAAACAGAATGAGCCATAAAAATCGCATTTTTTCATTGGACTTCTAGGGACACTCACTGTAGAAGCCACTCGATGTATCATAAGTTCTCTTTAAATATTCTATATAGCCGTAGTTTCCTTAGAAGCGCTTTTCAATGTGCTTCTTACATTTTTTTTTTCTTTTTTCTTCTTTTTTTTTCTTGATAACTAGTCATTTTTCAATCCTGCTGTTCAGATTATTCCCCGAATTCTCCCGGAAATCCTTGTATTTTAGCACCCAAAGATTGTTTAGATGGGACGTACAGGCAATTGATAAAGTTTTCCCGCGTTTGTGAATGAGAAAATTGTCCATTCGAAGCAGCTCAATAGATAAAAAAGAAAAAAAGAAGCGCGAGTTTTGGTTAATTAGTATATTTTTAATGTTAGAAACAGCTCTCCATAAATTACGCGTCTCATCAACACATTCCGCCTAGAGGTTCTCAGACTCCCTAGCTTCTTACGGCCCAGGAACGAGCATTTTCAATTTTTCGATAACTGACCCGTGTATCGTCCTAATTAGGCACACAGTAAGCGAGATTACCCCTTACCCAAGAAGCGTTTTTCAAGGGAAACTGCGAAATAAAAGCACAGATTTTCATGGCTGCACGAATACAGGAGACGACGAAGAGTCTATGGAAATTCCACAACCTGAGCCTGATGATAAATGACAGTTCCGATACTTTTCCACGGAAGGTATTACGAATATTTGTTTGCGTTCATTCACCTTCGATACGATATAAGTCAATTTTTTAAGAGCGGTCGTACGGATCCGTGCAGATCGGGGTATTTAGCTTTCCATATGACGAGGCGTACAGACGTATTCCTAATGTGCAGTGTACTACACATAGTGGAACATTTGCTCTAGCCGTACGCCGCACTACTCGGAATATAGTATCGTTGTTGCTGTCCGCTATTGTTCTTGTTATTGTTGCAATCACTGTTGTGGTAGGGTTGTCATCGTTTCTGTTATTGTAATTGCTGACGGCGATCGTAAGAAGGCGGATGTCTCTTCGAGCGGATGCCCCTTATGTGTTATATGAAATGTGTATCAGACTGTGCCTGCAAACGAGACAGGCCATACGCGCAACACCAAGCGCTTTACGAAGCCAGCCCTCCAGTAACTCTTCCTGCCCGCCGTTGCTTGTCTGCGTATGTGCTATGGATGTTAGTTACTGCTTGGATCTGTGGTAGGCCGATTCCTATGACGTGTCTGTCCAGCCGTCCGTGTAACAGCCATTAAGGCTACTACGGTGACTGTAGCATCGGCGGGAATACTCTTTGCAACAGTGGGCAACTAAGGGGCATCCTATGTCGAGTACTGCTGCTGTTGTGTTCTGCTGTGTATAGCCCACCGTCAATCAAAACGAAGGCACATACAACGCGACAGCGAGTAGCACGAAGCAAAATACGACAGAAGCAAACGTTATGTTCCCTTGGAGGCACATTGCCCATCCTGCTCGGCAGCCACCGATGCCACCACTACAGGTTGGTGGCTCCTACGAGCTGCGCCAATGGCCACAGTGGCACCAGTCGCAGGGAAAGCAGCTGTAGCAGCGCAAAGTAGACAAAAGGGAAGCTATTTTCAATGGCGAGAAGCGACTCGCGGAGCGACCTCGGAGCCTTTACCCGCTATTCCCGATGCTCGCGGCGTTGGCGAACTGCGCTAGGTACGAGGGAGCTGAACTGAGTTGGTGTCAGGGGAGGAGCTAGCTCGGCATCTTGCCTCGGAGGGGCAGGAGAGACGGAAACTAGCGTTTTTTCGTAAAGCCTTTATCTTCATCAAGGGAAATTCTCCTGCAGGTTTACAGATGACGTTTGCGGCCCTTCTTCTTCTTTGTCCTCCTCAACGGGCATCTTGCTTAGTCGGTCGCTGGAGGTCGACGCGAGATGGCCAATTGTTTGGTAAATAGCTGGCAAACAAGATAAACGTCTAAAACGTAAGGCTGTAAAGTCGTCAGTCAATGAGAGTAGGCCATAGGGGTCAAGCTTCCGTTGCAACGATCAATGATGGTAATATACAATGTCGAAAGTATGGCTGAAGCTGTATAGACGGTTCGTTCAGGACCAGTTGGCGGATGACGAGAGTGCGAAGCAGTTGTTGAATCCTGCGGTCATTTGCGCAGCCTTCATGCTTTCACGGTAACCAGAACTAGGCTAACGTGGTTGAGAAGCACAACTGAGAAATTAACGAACCGGCAACTATATAACATAGGAATTATATTCCACTGAGCCGTTTGTTGTGATATTATATGCGTGCTCAACCTATTACTATAGAAAATACATTACTTAGTCATCTATATATGCTTACATTGTCGTTTGTAATGAAAGGTAACTTCGTTCGATCTCTTATTTCGAGTCACGCAACTCGTTTTTCGCTGAATTCAGGCTGAAGATTTCTGAGTTTAGACGGAAGCATGATGTTTTTTTGTGTCGTTCCTCACAGAGACTGCTCTATGTTACGTTATAGGTCATTCAATAAGAAATCCAGCTTCGATTGAAACGAAGATCACCGCCATTGCACCATCGCTGGGTATTGGATATCTCTAATTTGGAATTTGATATTGGCTGCAGGTTTTCTATGTAAGCAAGGAAAAAGTCCGGGAGTGCATATGCTTGATGACATATGAATTTGCTACCACATTCTATATAAGGAATAATGATAATTCACAGTAACACCGGTACTGCGGTTTCGAATCAGCCCAATATTTATCCCGGAGAACGATTCCGAGATGGTAAAATGCAGAAATAGTTATACGTGAAAAGACAATACAGCGTAGCTTTTATCAGACAAAAATATAATGGAAATTAAGCAATATTTACCTGGGTGGAAAATACGCTGAATACATAGACTGATTATAAAAAGATATGGCAGCCTCAAAGCACCCATTGGCAAAAATATATCGGGCTTATACTTGGGAAAAGGCTGGTTTACAGTGATATACGAACGACGTGCCCAAGCAGTACGTATCCAAACGAGTTTCATTGCACTGTTACATCACTGATTACGTAGTATCGCATAAACGATCAGGACGGCTCGTAATCGATTCACTCCCTGGAACTAGAGCTGCGTTCATTTCATCGCTGATTTCACATAGTTTATATTTTAATGCTTAAAAATTTCGTTTAAGAATAGTATAATAACAGTGTACGTAGTCAATTTTAGTTTCTAAGATTTCTCAGACATGCCGTCGTGTGTTCGTGATTGTGTCAGCGTCCACCGGCCGTAGAAGTGGCCTAATCGTGTCAAGAAAGGCCAAAACAAATCGTTGATAGATTTGCAGGATGAGCATACATTCGGCTACTGACATAGATCAACAATCACGCACCCATGCTTCTTATGCCTTCAAACGAACCTCATTCTCATAGCTTCTCAATCGACCACAATATTTATTAACAAAAACGTATGGGCATTGACGAAACGAAATCAGAACAATAATTATATAGAAATAACGCGTACTCTACGGTCCTGTATGGATTGGTTTATGATCGTTTGTGAGCAAAAAAAAAAATCAACTACTAAACGTATTCTCAAAACACCAGCTCATTAATGAGCTGCTTGCCTCGTTAATGATAAGATAAGGCGTCCCACATAAAACCAGTAGGGTACTTACGTAAACGTAATTAACACATTACTTAAATATAGCTCACTAGTCAAACAAATCCAGTATTCAGACTACCTATTCTGAACAATTTTATTGTTGTCGATCTGCTGTCTTCTCATCCCTACGTAAACACAAAGCTGTGACTTTTTGAGGCAAAAAAAAAAGTTCCGTTGGCCGACGGCAAACGGCAGTCTGACAGTTTCCACGAATGCTCACTAGCACAGTATTATCTAATCTTTGACGTCGGCAAATATCGTTTAAAGTAACTTTCTATTTACTCTCATTACAGTCATATGCAGTATAGAGGACTTTGGGGTCATGAAAATGTTTGTTGCTCAATATGACGAAATTATATTTCAGTACCTGATAGATATTTGTTGATAGATACCTAATAGATAATTAAGATTACAATGGCTTTACATATTTGTTGGTTATTCTGGCAGCTACCAAAAAAGTCCTTTATTTTTTACTAGTTTGCTTTCAACGGGCGCCAGCGCCTCTTTCTTTGGCACTATCGCAGAAGTCCTAGCAAGATCGAACAGCCGTACGCTGATGCTATGATTGTGCCCCATCACGTCGTCATTGCGCAATCTGTACGCATATTTCTTACCCACTATTTTTACTGTTCAAGCTAATAGCCAGTTACTATCAACCTGATGTAAAAGAAAGATCTAATCGCGGTAGCTTTATTTTAGAAATCTGCATTTTTGGTCTCTAGACGGAAAGCTTTGAGGGTTACTGCGGAGCCACTGCGGCTGTTGATTTTGATTTATTTACCCTCAGATTAATATTTTAAGCTCTCATTCAATCTTTTCCTGTACTCTATTAAAAAAATCAGCCACAGTTAATCCCAGGAATTGATTGATTTATTCGAGGAGTAGTTAGCACGTGCTGCGACCTCAAGAATTCTCTCCGATTTCGAATACGGCTAAGAAATCTGAATAGGACAGACAGAACGTGGGCATTCGTAGTCGCCAATAAGAAGAAGTCCTATTAAGAGCCTACATTAGAATTGCCGATCCACTTCATAGCTATCGTCGTCATTATCGAGAAGCTGAG